CTTCCTCAGGCAACCTTGGCCTCTTTGATTGCCAAGGCATGCGCTCCGCAGACCTTAGCTACGGCTCGACGGTCCGTGGTTGAGTGCTCAGAGCCCCTTCGAACTGCACTCTCTCTGCCGTGGCCCTCATGCGATGAGCCATCTCCTCACGGCTAGCCATTTCAACACTTACACAAGACAAACAACAATTCAGTACCGAGTAAAAGAGTTCGGAAAGAGAAAGGATTGAAAAAGCCAAAAGGACGTACAGATTGATCGCCTCACTCATCAGTTTGGCATGGATCAACATTAAGAAGGATGTGCACTCCATCACGTCGGTCCTCTCGATCATCCTAATCGACACCTTCTCCTCCTCGGTGAGCTCAGTCGCGCTCAACGCCTTCACTTTAGTCCTTAGCAATCCCCTCGCTTAAAGGAAACCTCAGCCTGGCCTGCAAGCTATGCTCGTATACACAAAGCTCGCCTGGCCGAGCCGAGGTGGCTTTCTCACCAACGCTCGGACTCCTAAGCTCGAACACTTTGGGCATGCTATACAAGGCCCTGATTCGAGCCATGTCCCTAGGATTTAGGCAGCACAGAGTGGTTGCAAACACTACTTCAACTTCGGCCCCCTCCTTAAACACTACTTCGACTTCAGCCTCCTCGACCTCAGTCTCACCTAGTTCTATGGCCTTAGTCCCAAGTTCGTCGACCTTGGCCCCCTAGCCATCGGCCTCCCAAACAGCAAGGGTTGTGGCCTCGATGAGAGACCCCGACACAAACCCACTACTAAAGGAAGAAGAGGAGGAAGATGAGCAGGAGGAGTTAGTAGATGAGGAAGAAGACATCTTACCGCATTTATGGAAGTTTAGACTGTGGAACTGAAGCAACATTGAGCCGAAGACTAGTTTTCACCGAGCTCTACAAGGACTCCCTTCACAAGTGACAAAGTAGAAATGCTCTTCACTCCCTTTTATAGGGCTCTTAGCGACCCAGATCGAGGCAAATCAACGGCATAGATAAAATGCTGCCCTCTGACATCTTGGGGAGACGAAACGGCGCTCCCACCAACCCATCTCAGAAAAGGTACGAGTGCCGAGCCTGTCGGTTCACCCAAAAAACTGGTTCAACCCTGAGCCATTCGGCCTAGATAGCATGCTCAACCAGATTTCAAGTTCAAGTTCCTAAGTCGAGAACCGAAGAGATATTCTACGCCACACCATGGCCAAGCACTACACTCCTTGACTTTAGAACTGAGGGTGTGGTATTTGGGTTATGGTTGAGGTGGCCCCGGGTGCCACATGTCACATCTGCGGCCGTCTTATCTCTTCAGCCATGTCAATACCACGTAGGATGGATAAGCGCGACCAAGAAAGGAGAACCCCGTATGGATTAGGAGGACAGTTTTGCCAGGGATTAGGTCTTATCCTGAAGATCTCGACGGACGACCTCATCCCGATAACCCCGGAAGCCTCATCCGAATCGGACACGGATCTTCGGCTATAAGTAGGTAACCTCCACTCAAGGTAAAGGACTTTGGACTCTCCAGCCTTCATACTATTATTCTCTCTCTGCTCGGACTAGCACGTTTCTCTCAACTGCTTGGCCCAACTACCCATTCTTCTTACTAACTTGAGCATTGGAGTGCCTACCTGGGGAATAACTCCTCGGGCCTCTGATCTCTTTCTTGATTTTAGATCTTGCTTTGCGGTTTCATCCTTCCACCTCAACTTCACCAGTTGGTAGGACTATCTGACTACGAACTCGATTCGGGATACATCGGATTGAACAACATCAGAGTAATACATGATTTGCCCATAAACACCTCATCCAACATTAAAAATGTTTCACAAAAACAAGGTGTGGCCTCTGTCATTCACCATAAGAGAGATTGTACCTATTTAAAAAGGTCCAAAAGTTTTTTCGCCTATGTCAGGTACTTGTTTCTTATTTATGGGCGCCTGATGGCTTGTGAAGACATATGTTGGTTCAAGTTGCTTGCCTCAACTTTAACTCTAACCCAACCTTCAAATCAATCGGATGCAACCTTTCTAGGTTGAGTTGGAGCTAAATTGACGAAATTGCACTCTTGGAAAAGGGTCATTGCTCAATGCTTGTTGTAGGTTTGTAGCTATTTGGGTCTTAAGAGTGATGATGTTAGAGCTGAAGTGGTTGAATAATAGGTACTTGAGTTGGTGAACTAAACGAGTTGAGTTGTATTCAAGGCTGTGTTTGGTTTGAAGGAAAATGTAGGGAAAAGAAAAGAAAAAATAGGGAAACCTTTAAAAACCTTGTATATGTTTCTCTATTTTTCCCTTCGTTTCTCTACTTTTCCTTTAGAAACCTTATATACGTTTGTCTACTTTTCCCTTTCTCTCTCTACTTTTCCTTTAGAAACCTTGTATACGTTTCTAGAGGGCTAAGGTTGCATGAGTGCCAAGCAGATCCCACCTTTGGGGGTCAAATCCTTAGATAGGCGTCCTAAGAGCCGTTGTGCTCCTCATTCATGAGATATGTGTCATCATTCGGGGTCCTTCATCCTCAAAGTCATTACTCCACGAGTTACATGCGGAATGAGTACATTCATAGACATGAATTGGGATCTAGGGCACCTCACTCCAAACTCACTATCACATCTCACCGTGTTTTAGAAACATCTCTTATGAATAATAAATACAAATAGGGGAGATGTTCTCGATGTATGACCAGAACATGCTGTGAGGTCAGTGTGAGGCGTGCTCTGAGGAGGAGATCCCGTCTCCGTAAACATTGCATTGACTTAATTTGGTGATTAATCTAGAGCCAGTTGGTGTTTGCCACATGTCCCATCATGTCCGGGTTATGCAGAATTCCTCAGCATTGACTTGTCGACTACACTTGAGAGTCTGCAACATGGTTTTCAAAACCGGACCAGACCGGATGGTTAGACCGGAAAACCGTTGATTTTGGTAAGCAAACTGCTGACCCAGGCGATTAACCGTTTGGACCATTCAAATGGCTTTGACCGTTTTTTAGTTTTTTTATTTTTTTGTCAAAACAGGCCGACCATTTGGTTCGAACGGTCCGACCGTTCGATCCAATAACCGGACCCTGACCGGTTTGGTCTCTAGATGGGTTTTAAAAACCATGGTCTACAGGGTGCCACATCACAGCTCCTCAGCTCGGATAGGGTTATGTTGGTCTACCACTACCACGTGTCAGTCCTCAGCTTAGCCACTTGTATTGGTTTGGCCTACATGGTGGTTTTAGTCAGACCCAGTTATAACCACATCAAGGAGGGATGAACTGGATTTGGACCAAGAACCTGAGTTTTTCATGCTTGTTAGTCGGAAATTTTATCATTTATGGCTGTTTCTTTGTTTCTTTTTAGGGTTAAATAACCAGAACAATTTAGAGCTATAGGCCATTATTTTGGTCATTGTGCTTCAAAAGACAAGAGTTGCAATCGCTAGAATGGCTGTAGTTATCGTTATTCGTTTTTCTTTAATTTTTGTTCTGATTTGTGTCTACCATTCAATGATTCCACAGATGAAATAAGGATAAATTAGATTTGTTTTTTTTTTTTTTTTGAAAATTGTTTAAAATTCATTGACTTTTCAATATTTTTCTTTAATTTACCATAACTTTTCAAAACATTCGGGAACCCATATCACTGACTTTTTATTTTTCAAAACCCACCGTCCATTAGAGTACCGTTAGTGTTTATTGACAGAAATTGTCCACATCAACATAATTTTTTATGAGAATGGCATGTCAGCCTTATGTATTTTTATATCAGCCTAATTTTTATTCAATACATCTTTATTCTAAATGACATTTAAAAGGGATAAAGTGACACTTGTGTTGTGTAAGTAGATATGGAGTTTCGGATGAATTTGATTTGAAACAAAGTCATTCTTTTTTTATTTGAAGTTCCGTTTTAACACTTGAATATATAAAATGAGTGGAAAATTTTTTAGACTAAAATATTTGAAATATATTTTTGTTGTTTGTTTTGTTTTTCATTTACAGCAAAACAAAGGGTAAAATAGTAATTTACCAATATCCATTAGTCGTGCGTGTGGGGCAGGCCATGTTGATTGGAGAGAGAGAGGATTCATTATGTGCTGGGACCATGTACTCAAATGCGGGCCTTTCAGTCGACCCATCTAATTCATGTGGGTCCCAACAATCGACCATCTGTGGTGCCTCTTGAACGTAGAGTCCATTTAAAAATACAATCCACAAACGATATTTTTGTGGGGTTGCCTGATTGGAATAAGAGCTTCGGATAAGGCTTTCAACCAATAAAATAGCTTACCTAACAACAGCTTATTAGCCCAAAGAATTAACAGAAAAACAAAAGTACAAGGAAAAAAAAAAAAAGTAAACGTTATGACAACAGTTGATTTGCTGATCAAGTTCAGTCACAAGAGGTGGTGGTTGAAGAAGCCCAACAAACAGGGGCAGAAAATAAAAGAAAAAAAGAAAAGAAAAGGAACCATATCAATTCAAAACAATAATTCCAGAGATATATCTTCTGGGTGCACTGTTTTTGTTTTTGTTAATTTCTCTGAAACCTTAGGAAGTTTTCAGACCAACATTGGGAAATTATGGAGGCTTATATCTAAGCTAAAAACCAGAGAGAGAGAACTGCACTTTTCAAGTTGTAATACAGTGCAGAATACACTAAAATCTCACAGGGTGTAAGTTAAGATGCTTAGACAAAACCCCAATTTGTAGAACAACATTTGCTTCTAATGAAGTGTAGCAGGCTGAAAGCTCTGCTGTATTGGATATTCTCAATTCTTCAGTGTATTGATTTTGCACTAAAATTAGACATCTTTCCTTGACGGAGAGATATTCCATGAAAAGGGGAATCTGCTCAAGCCCATCAACATTGACATTTTCTGCCTTTCTGGTGTATATTTGAAATTAATAAAATGAAGACAAGCTATTTAAGTTCTCTGATCCAAACCCATGAGTCTAAAACAGAAAATTAGTACAATTAATAGATGGTATGGTAGGCGATCAGACTCTGATTCACATTCAAAGAACAATTGACAGAGGATTTATAAACATAGTAAAATGGCAGGTGAACAGCGAACTTACTATTTTCTGTACAATATGCTTTTCATACAAGTTACCGTAGCTAACATATAGATTCATAGAAAAGGAAGATATAATCTTCTGTTTCAGGTTAACTTCTCTAATCTGAAACCACCTTTCATTGACAAGAAGCTCAATAAGTATATACATATATCAAATTTCAAATCAAGAAATGGTTACTCTGCTGATGATTCATTCTTTTGCCTGCGCATCCGAGCTGCCCATGACATGTTTCCCCTGGAGTTCTTGTACATGCTCCTTTTCTTCAACTCTGAAAGTTGAGATTGCCATCTGTTCCTCCACTCACCTCTCTCTTCCAATCCCTAATAAAAAATGAAATCCTAAAATCAGAGCATAAACAGAAAAAGAGAGAAGAAACCCAGATCTCAAAATTAAATAAGTACACAGTTAAATACATAAAATATTGGAAGGACAAGAAAAACTAAGAAAATCAAATTCAGAAGGTACAGAAACCCAGTAACTAAACATCAGACCTTGAAATGGAAACAGACAAGTAGGCAACAACAATCCTCCAATCYAGAGACCATCTTAATGAAGAGACAGGAGATACAACCATAACTACCAAATTATGATGAAAGTACTTAAAATTAAAAAACAAGCTCTGAAATCCTGCACACTCCAGAGTCCAGATAGATGCAAAGGCAACCAAAAAATCATGAAAGCAACACCAAATAAGAATCTGCCACCAAACAGAAAGCCCAGGATTCCATAATAGAAAAAAGCATAAATTCCAAACAACTACGATCTAAAAATTAAAAAAGAAATTCTCAGAACAACATAGATTCTGTAGAAAAAAAAGTAATTCCAGATCTAAGAACCAAAGTCCAAAGATGCATAAATAAACTAAAAAATTCGCATAAACCAAGGTAAACCCAGATCAAATTTTCAGGAAAAGATACAAAATCCATCAGAAAAAAAAAAATCGAAAAAGCACCTCATCGTATTGATATCGCTTACGAGAGGAGAAAGCGAGATGCAAGCCCATGGCCAAATCCCTATCATACAAAGCTCTACTGCTTGGGTCGGACAAAACCTCGTATGCCTCCTGTATCTGAATAAACCTCCTCGTGTACTCATCTATCCGGTCTGGTGGGGACACGTCCGGATGGTACTTCCTGGCCAACTGCTTGTAAGCTTGCTTGATTTCCGAAAACGTCCCACTTTCCGATATGCCCAACAACTCATAGAAACTCATCCCTGAATTCTCAGTCACGAATCCGTCGTTAATGGCGGCTTTTGTTCTGAAAGACCCACCACGATTTTCGATGAAAAAAATTGTTCTGGCCTTCTGGGTATTGAAGAAAACACAACTACAAGCTTCACCTGTCCATCTTCTGCTAGAAACTATTGTTTTCGCATACAGATAGAAGCGAGCATCGCTACCAGAGATCAATCCATGGCTCATCATTGTTCGGTTCTCTTGCTTTGTTCCGCTCTGCTTTCTTTTCCCTTTTCTTTTAACTTTGGACAACTGTTGCTACAAAAACAACAGGGAAGTAAAAAAAAATGTGGAAATTGTAGAATGAAATGGCTTTACTTTCTGTTTGACTGGGCTAAAATAGCCAAGAGCCCAAGATAAATCTTTCTGATTATTGGGTTTCAAATCCAGTTGGAAACTGATTATTGGCTAAAATAGAAAGTATACATATATAATGCTTTTGTGGATGAGTTAATCCTGCCAGGCGTTTTCACCCAGAAAACCCAAAACGAAAAAGGACTCTTGTGAGGCTAGAGTTTCTATTTTCTAATCGTATCTGCTGGTTTGTTTCGAAATCTATAATTATAACAACTTTTTTTTCGAATTTTTTATTTTATTTTATTCTATATAATTAAAGCCCCGTTTGATCGTGGGAATAGGGTCTGGAATGTAATCGGAATGGGCTATTCCAATTCCAACTGTTTGGTTGGATGGAATCAGAATCTCATTCCCATTTCTGCTGGAATGGTCATTCCCTCCCCATTTGAGGGAATGGCCATTCCCTGCCCCTCCCTTGGGAATAAAATCTATCATATTTTATCCCCAAATATTCTATTTTTTATACTGAATTAATACTTAATTAGACTCATATTTCTTGTATTTTGGTGCAGGGCAAGGAAAAAAGTTGCAAGCAGGAAAACAAAGCTAATCGGATGGGTTTTCACAGTTTCAGCARCGATCAGTAACCTGGGCCTAACTTTCATATCTGAGCTCCGATTGGGCTGATTCAAGATCCACCGGAAAGATATGAGAGGCTTTGGGCTTTCGCAGATTCGGCCTACATCGAAGTCAAATTCTGGCCCGAAGACAAAGCAATTTCGTAGTGAGGCCCAGTTCCCAGCTGAAGCCCATTTCACAGAAAAGCATTGAGGCGGCCCAAGTTATTAAAGTAGCCCATTCGAATTCAAGAATTCGAGAGTTTTACCAAATCTAAATTTATGATGTAATCCCAGAAAGATAAGGAGATTGAGTTCATTAAATAAAGAGATAAGAGTAGGATTAGACTAGGACTTTCTAATCTTGAGAGATTAACTTCAAGAGAGAGTAGGAGACCACCCCCTCCCCTTTAGGCTATATAAAGAAGTAGGGGGCGGACTAGAGGGGGCATCAATCAACAATTGGAGGAATTCCCGAAGTCTCTCTGAAGTGAATCAAGAAGGTCTTCAAGAACTTCAAGAAGAAGATCAAGAAAGTTTCAAGAAGGAGGTGGCGGCAAGGAGAAGAGGAGATCTCAGCACCCTAGGCGAATTCATGAGTTCTTTCTTCCATCTTGTTTGCTTTATTTCCTTTATTATGAATTGATTTGTTTTTAGCTAGGGCTATGGAAAGCCGAACCATGATAATGAACATATTTTTATCATTATGATTTATCCAAGATTGTGATTTCCATATAGTCTATGAATTATTTGCTTAATGCGATTAGAAGTGGCCATCTCTTAGTTGATTCGGTGTATATGAATGAATCGGGAGAGGAATTTATATACTCAACCACATAGTTCATGGTGTGAATTGAATGGTATATAGGGATATATACACATGATTCATCTGAATATATGAGTTTTTCTTGCACTTAATGCATTCCTATTATTGAGAACTCTAGTCGAGGGATCGAGGGGTTACTTGATAGAAATARGTTTAATATATATTGGGAAAGAATATTAAATAAAATTGGGAAAAACTTCAGCTTATGGGAATAACAATTAATCTTGGTTAATTGCATCCATCAATATTCATTAGATTGGTTGGGCGGACCTAAAGCCCTAGCGTTCTCATCCTTTGCATATTCGGTTGTTGATTGTCCTTGCTTTTATCTTCTTTTCCTAGTTTTTATTTTCAGTAGTACTTGCTCCCTCAAATCTGAATTTCGATTGTCCAAATAATTAGGGAAGACTGGGGTTCTAATATTTATTTTATTAAATCCCCGTGGGAATGATATTTTTATACTACTTGATAACTAGCGCACTTGCTAGGGTTATTTTCATAGCTATCAACTGCCACAAAAATAGCCACCAAGAGACTGCAACTACCACCAAAATACTACAACCGGCGATGAAAATAACCATTGTACCAAAACTACAATGGATTTGGGCTTTGAGAAACAGGCATGGATGGCAACCAAAGTAGCGATTATGGCCATCACCCAACAAAAAAAGACTGAATAGTGCACCCCCTGTACCAAGTTCCCTGCACAATAGAAGCAAAGAAATAACAAAAACAATAAAGGAACAAAAAAGAGAAACATGCAAGGGGAAAAACGACAGAGGATGGAAGAAGGATGTAAAAACGACAGAGGATGGAAGAATGATGTAAAAACGACAGAGGGTGTAAGAAGGATGAAGAACTGAAGCAAAGGAACAAAGAAATAACAAAAACAACAAAGGAACAAAAAAGAAAAACATGTAAGGGGAAAGATGACAGAGGATGGAAGAAGGATGTAAAAACGATAGAGAATGTAAGAAGGATGTAAAAACGATAGAGGATGTAAGAAGGATGAAGAACTAAAGCAAAGGAGCAAAGAAATAACAAAAACAACAAAGGAACAAAAAAGAAAAATGTGTAAGGGGAAAAACGACAGAAACAAAGAAAGAGAAAGACTAGGAGGGAGAGAGGAGTGAGAAAAGGAGAGAAGGGGTGAAGAGAAGTAAGAGGACTAGAGAGAACAAGGAGGAAAAGAGAAGGGAGATGGGGGGCTCCCTAAGGGGAGCTACCCCATTGGACCGAAGGCGGAAGAGGAGACAATCAAAGGTAGAGAAAGAAAAAACCTCGAGGAAGTCTCGAGAGGAAGGCTCTCTCTAGAAAGAGAGGGAAGAAGCCTCTGAAAAACCTAGAGAGTTATATAACAATAGACAAAAACTAACTCTACTTTAAAAATTACTTAAAGTACCCTTTGAAGGAATTAGAGATCCATCATATGGATGGCCGAACCCTGTAGGTAGGTTAGGCAAAATTTCAAAAATTTCCTCTCCCCTCATCTGGGAATCACATTCCATGTTTTAGAAAATCTGCATTTTCAAGGATCAATATTGAACCATAAACCAAACCAGATCTGAAACCAAAAGCAGGAGAAGGATATACCTGATACGGAAAAATAGTATCTCCCAATGGAGGTGTTCACGCCCAAGGAAGGAACCAAAAACTGCTCCCACTAAAAATGGCGCAGTGTAGGATGGAGCAGAATCAGCAATGTTCGTCCAACAAACCGAATCCTTCACAAGAATTTGCTGGAGGCTATGAGCACAACTTCATATTAGCCTTTCAACAAAGGCTGATATCAAGATCCAACCTTGTGAAAGAATCGTAGGATTCATCCAATGGATGCCATGAAAGTTGCGGAATGGGTGGGCGAATTTCAAAAATTTTTCTACCTTCTCCCAATTGGGAATCATATTCCCTAAATTTAGAATATAATATTCAAGGATCCTACTTGAACCATAATCAAACTAGATCTGTACGAAAAGACAAATGGGAGGAATATACCTGATCCGGAGAAGCACTATCTCCCA